TAATGTTGTGTCTATGTCCAAATCGCTGATTTTCCGAATCAGCATCGAATCTTCAGGTTTGGATTCAGCCAAATCGAATCAGGGACAATGATCCAAATCAATTAATCGAATCACTGTCCCTGATCGAGGCTGACTCCAAACCAGAATTGAATAGGCCCCACTTCGCACACTCCTACTAAGCAGTAGCATCCCTGAACAACTTTTAGATAATGCTGACTATACAGTAGCTTCTCACAGTATGCAATTCATGCCATGTGATGCTACTGTACAGTAGTAACTGTGTAGTAACAAGCTACAAGCTACTGCGCAGTCAGCATCTCATATAGACGTAGCCACTGTCTCCCTTGTGGCGGACTGTATTCTCTTCTGAGAGAAGCCACAGAATGTACAGACATTCTATAAGTACTAAATGACTCCACAGGCAGCATCTCATGTATACATGGCCAGTATGTTACTTGCTGGACTCTGGTGTTCCAGCAGGGAGCGGAACATACCCCTTTAACAATTCCCATATTGTACTGCAGGGAACTACGGGCTGACCATGAGTAATCTAGTTCAGCCAACCAAGGCTGCCCTATGCACTGCTGCCATCTGTCACCAGGCAGACTAAGGAAGCCTGCAGAGCATGCTATGATGTGTTCCCAAAGATCCCCTGGCTGCACAATGTTGCAAGGTCTCCACTCTTTTGGGCTTTAGCATTCAAATGTCTGTATATGAGGCTCTGAGTAAGTTTTTTTACCAGGAAAACAAACCTGGGAGAATTATCCCAGATTATTTGAATGTGTGTACGTAGCCTTAGTTTCCTATGCCTGCTACAGTTTCTACAAGTGAAGTATATAAATTCTGTGAGGCTTCCCTATGGTTTTGTGGACAGCAAATGCAAGCTTGTATATGGCTCAGAAGAGAGTTACATTTGAGGTGATATAGCACTTATACACTCCAGTCTCTGTACCACTGAGGGCATACTTATATTTGGCTGTAGCTTTGCCTGAAACTCTCTTTAGCACCACAAGAGAAAGACATGTATCACTAAAGCTACGAACAAAATCCACTTGGGTAGACGAGACTGAAAAAAGGCCTACAGCATAGAATCTGAATATTCTGTTTTACTACAGTGCCAGGTCTACCAATCACCAAGCACTTAACCATCCATATGCACACATCACTTTAACACAACTAGTTCTGGTCTGGAGGGTGGCAATTACTATAGCATAGTATGTTACACAACTATTGGGGGAGAGGAACACAAATCTGGGTCAGAACACTACTTTTAAACACAGTAAGATGTTATCATGGGCTATTTATAGATTTCATAGACATTAGGGGCTGGAAGGGACCTCGTGAGATGATCAAGTCCAGCCCTCCCACCATAGGTAGGAAGTCAGCTGGGATCAAGTGACCCTAGCAAGAAATATATTCACATGTTTTTGAAAGAGTCCAGAGTAGGTGCTTGCACCACCTCTGGGGGGAGTCTGTTCCAGATCCTGGACAATCTCGCATCGTAAAGAAGTTTTTTCTTATGTCTAGTCTAAATCAGCCTTCCTGGAGTTTATGGCCTTTAGACCTTTGTTATCCCTTGGGGAGCTCTGGTGAACAGCTGTTCTCCCATGTCCTGATGCACCCCTCTTATATAATTGTAGGCTGCCACCAAGTCCCCCCTGAGCCTTCTCTTTTCCAGACTGACGAGTCCCAAGTCCCTCAGCCCTTTAATATCTACATACTGCAGTAGAGCTTCAACTGAGAGACTTCTTGTCACCTCCCCACTGGAAACACCATGAAATGCAGTATATCTGAGAAAAAAAGTGGCCACGTTGATCCTGTCAGGCTCTGAAGCTGCTGTTCTAGGAGGTCCAGGTCTTACAGGCCTGAGGCTTCGGGTCACTGCATTATCTCTTCAGAACACAATGTGTACTCTTTGCACCAAATACTAATATTCCCTTGAGACTGATCTGGAAACCATATTAGTACAACATCTGCCATCAAATCCAACATGCCATGCCCACAACAGTATTGCTAATTGCTGATTCTGTTGAACAATCTCTATCCACTATGAGATGGACCGATACAGGGCCTGATGCAATTTCCTCTGGCTGCAACAGATGCAGAATCAACCCAAAGACCAACACTAAAATCAGAGTCACTCTTGTCGATGTAGTTTTCAGCTCTGTGAACCCATACGGATAAGTGTACTGGGAAGAGGAAGGTTCACTCTAAGGAGGGCAAGGGGTAATACTGCCACCAACTTCCTTTGGGCAATTCCAAGGGAAGACAAGACAAGCTATGTTCTGCTTGGAGTCCCTGCAGCTCCTGGCTAGCTGGCTCTGCCCCTCTGGGTCTACTGTGTCCACTTTGCAGTTGCAGTACCTCAGTGGTAAAAAGTATGAATGCAGTTAGGCCTCTGTGGCTCTGCTCTGGGTAGACATACTGTTGATGGAGGTCCACAATTCAGGGGATGTTTGTTCAAAATGAAATAAAGGGCTTGCAGGAGGTGTCCCAGACAATGAACT